TTAATATTATATATACTGCAAGTATAATATATAAATTTGTAGAAAGAATTAGTGAAATCAGAACCTGGTTCTGGTTTTGGTGCATCTTCTGACAATTTCCATTTATAGTAGCTTGGATTGCCAGGTGTAGGCGGTAATTTATCTTCACTGTATAATTTTGGAGCAGAAGCAATTGTTTCTGTTAATGAAAGATTTTCTAAAACATTTATTACTTGAGTATCTGTTGATTTATCGGATACTCCGCCACTTCCTGCAACTCCTCCTTCATCACCAGAAGTAACACTATATATAATATTTATCATTAATTATCATAAAATTCCTGAAAACAACACAGTCACTATGAGAAAGACACAATTATAAGTGTCAAGTATAATTACCTCTGAAAATTTGATGCTGAGATGAGCCCAGCTACATCATTTTGTGTGAAGACTGCTAAACGTGGATAATTTCTTCTATAATCTCTGCTAAAATAGTAATTTTTTGCCAGATCTGAATGTTTGGTTAACGGACTCTTATATGTTGGTGGTTGAGATCTAGTAAGGAATAATTATAAAAAAATCTTTTTAATTAAATCAAATAAGAAAAATTAATAATATATATATGTGTGACAATTTACGCTGGAGCTGGAGATCTATATATTCCACTAATGTGAACACCAGTATTGCTGTTTTCTGGATTCTAGTTAATATAATTAAGAGGGTGTTGAGAATTATTTGCGATATAAACGAATTTATTTGGTTAGTAAAACTAACCACTGTAAGCAATCTACGAATCATTTCAAAAAAACCATTGCTTGAACCTCGCGTATATGACATTTTATTTGAAAAAAATAAAATTTTTTCCGTCATACCTCGTTTATATCCCCACTTATTTATGTCCCAACGGGGCGCAAATTTACCGGAAAATTTCCAGGAGCAATATAAATAAATTTTACCGGTCATGAAAAAAAAAAATTTTTTTTAATGATTATAAAATGTAAAAATGAGTTTATTTGAGTATGTATTTAGAAGTAGCTCAAGGTATGTTCTATAAATATCAATTCTTCCAATGCCTTCTTTCTCTGTTAAAGTAAAAAATTAATTATTTTGATATTTCAATTTGGGGCATGCTGCAACAAAACCAGACAAAGTGAACATTGGTATTACCAAGAATTTCAGGGATCAAAATTTAGTCATTTGTGATGTGATTACAATTGATTGTTTTATAATATCCCATTTATTATTTATATTAAGTGATATATAGAATTGCCCCTATATAAAAATAACAATATGAAGCTAATTTACATCAAATCTACTATGGAACCTAAGAATTACAGCATCATTAGAGGTATTTTGAAAAAGGAACAAGGTGAGAAAATTGCTCCTTACATTTTTAAATTAGGGATACCTAAACTATAATATTAATAAAACATAATTAATTATATAACTGTTTATTTGTTTATTTGGGGCATGCTGCAACAAAACCAGACAAAGTGAACATTGGTATTATCAAAGATTTCAGGGATCAAAATTTAGTCATTTGTAATGTGATTATAATTATCAGTTTCTTAAGTGATATATAGTAATATTAATATTAATTGTCCAAAATTTCAGGGATCAAAAATTTAGTTGTCATTTTATTGAAGTTAATTATTGCATTTTCTTTAAGTTGGTAGATATTTATTTTCAAATTGTCCAAGCATTGCAAAAAATCCAGGATCAAAAAATATTTGTCATGGGAATTCCTTTTTTTAGTTGAAGCTGATTTTAAGTTAAGTGAAATAAATATGTGGCGATGATTATGTATTTGATATATAATCATTAATCATTTTATATCATAATACCCTTCAATTAGCAGAAATCAAAACACCAAGAGATAATTAAATCAGAAAAGTTATTTAATTGATGAAAGGATCATCAAGTCATTTTAGCATTCGGTAAATCAATTAATTCAATAAGCCGATTCACTAAAAGCTTTCATTAAATGAATCAAATGAACAAAAAAATAGATATTTTGATTAATAATTTATCAATCCCCAAATGTTTTGGTTAAATATTATTTCAACATTTATTTTTTAGTTTTACTTTGATAAATGATTTTGGTGGTAATGGTAATAGTAATAATGAAGAGGATTGATTAGAAATTTTTTAAATTACAAATCTTACATTCTTTATTTAATTAGATTAATTTTATTAAAACAATATTATTAATGTTTTAGTATAAAGTTAAAAAAATGTTTTTTTTAAATTTCAAAGTAATGTTTTAAAATATTCATTAATATTTCTTCCGGGAAATATATGATTAATTTGTCAGCAGATAATGTTATCACATCATTGTCACCATGATCATCGAATAACAATGTATGGTTTACCGTTTTTCCTTTAAAACTTACAATATTTATTTTTTCATTTGATGATCCGTATGTTTGCGCTGACATACACTCTGATCGTAAAACGTAAATGTTATTGAAAATATAGAAGAATCGTTCAAAATTTAAAATTTTTTTCAAAGCGTATAGGAGGAGAGTCTCATTTCTTTTGAAAGTTCTTGCAATTAGCGTGTCGGTGCTTTCCTTAAGTTTAATTATTTTAACAACTTCTCTCTCTTCACTTTTTCTTTTATTTTGGAAAGTCCATTTTTAAAGAAAAAATTAGGGTGAAAACAAGTTGAGTTGCGGCAACAACCACCATTTAATGATAATCACTTGTTGGTTTTTGCCAAATTATCTTCAGTTTTTCTTTTTTTATTTCCACTTGACATTTTTTAAAAAAAAAGTTAATTGAATTGATAAAAAAAACTAGAGTTATGATGAATGGCAGGCGATAACCACCACCACCATCCTTAAAACACTTACCCATAGATTTCTTCTGCTTCTTTTCCTTTGGTTCTTTTATTGTTGTCGTGTTGTCGTGGCATGTTTATTTATTACAAATGAAAAAAAGAAGTTTGTTATTTGATCGACGCGTGCACACTAATTATTTATTTTCTTTTTGAAAATAGTGAACTAAAATATTTAATAACAAAATTGCCCCAACTTTTATTATGCAGATCCTCTAATTCTTGTACGATATATATACCACTTAATTAAATATTTTATTTGTTGATCATTGCATGTACATACATTAATGTTAAAATTTAATGTTAATCCTAGAAAAACTTACAAAGTGAACATAAAATTATATATATATAGGGATAAGTGTATATGAAAAGTAATAATGTAAATAATAATCATAATGGTTCTAATGAATATCAAAAAGTGATTGAATTTTTAGAAAAAGGTTGTGGTTGTGGTTGTTCTTCAAGAATTCCCAAGGAAGGATTTGCAGAATTAAGGGAATCCTTTCAAGCTCTTTCTAAAACAGAACAAGATATATTTTTAATGGCCCAACTTAAGGCAATGGATGGTGGATCAATAAGCAGTAGTAGATGCCTTAAAAAGAAAACTAGATTTAATAAAAGAACTTTCTACCATTGGGATCACAATACACTTCTTTGTCAAGAAACTTATCTTAATATGTTAGGAATTG